ATTTGGTCTTTATTTTTGAATACTCCTGCTAGCTTGAATATTTCTGCATTGCATATTTTGACTTATTTCGTATATATTGCATTTTGCCTGAGGTTGACATTAGGATTTGGCCACAGCTTCTGGCACCAGTACGCAAGGAAAAGAATGCTGATCTTTCCTATGGTGAAATGAGTGGATTGCTAGTTGAACTATGCTGTATTAGCACAGTTTAACACCCGCACAAGAGGAGGATGAGACAAAGAGTCTGTCAGTGGCTACACAAACATTTTCTTATAGACAGCACCTTTATATCTCTCTGGGACAGAAGGCATTAGTAAATTATATTTTGTGGATACAGTGCAATTTTGTATGCATACATTTTTTATTTTGAATACAAAGAATGGGAATTTATGGTTTTATTTCTGAAAATTTCATTCTTCAAGGGGATAATATGACATTATATTTTCAAGGAAGGCTGACTTTCTTGGGCAGGACAGTTGAGTGGTCATATAACTTCTGATCCTTGTAGCTTCAAAAATAAATTTAATGAAATATTTTTGTGAGGAAAAAATATAAAAGGCTAAGGTTAAATTCCAATTTTCCTGTAAGAATCTTGGCAGACAAAAATGGAAATAATTTCTTTCTTCTAAAAGCATTAATCTGGATTAATAATAAAAAAAAATCTTTAACCATTAAATTTGATTATGTCTCTGTCTTTTTTATATAATACATGGATTGTTATATAAGAACAGTAGGATCTCAATCCAGTTTTTGTTTGGCTTAAACTGCTTATGAAACTAGTGTTAATTTTCACAAAAATGGCCAGTTGTCCTACACAGACCTGTTTAGGTCCCTGAGTGTGCATAGAGTTTGACACTGAGAAAATGAACAAAATTCAGTCTTCAGATATTAATCACTGTTTAAACCTGTCTTCAAAATTTTTTTCTTAGTCATTTTCCTAATGTGCCATCACTGAAAAGTTTAAGAATGCAACCTTGTAAAATGGCTTTCAATGCCCATGAATCAATGAAAGAAATATGGTCTTTCGCTCTCTTTTGCTTAATAGCTTGCATCTTTTATCTTGTCACATAGTTCAATGGCATAGAATTACAATAAATTAGTTTTACAATTATCAAACTCTTCAACTTCTCTTTGGCATTTAACGAACCTCAGAATCTGTTTATTGCTTCATATACTTTGCCATCATGAATATTAGCTTTTAATTAACTGGAACTCTAATCTTAATCTTCCTCACTATATTGCAGTGAAACATTTTTATTAGCTTGAAGAAGATAGTATTTGTTACTATTTTTCCAATAAATGGAATACTTTCAGAATGACCTTATTATCAGCAATTATAACAATATAAAATGTAAGAAGGCAAAACTCATTATACCAAAGACAAGCATTGTCTGATTACTTTTTGTGTATTTCACTTAGTAACATAAAATCACTGAGAAGCCTCAGCTGAGAGAGACCTATAGAGATCATGTGGTCCAGGCTTAGATCAGGAATTGCAAAAGAGTGAAAGAGGAAATCATACACAAACTTTTCCTCAGGCAGACTGTGCACAGCTAGAATGACCCAAAGCCATGTCTGTATTAGAGAGCAGTGCTCCATGGTAGTCTTCCTAGTAATGAAGACTGGAAGGAAAAAAAACTGTTGTCAAAAGGTAAGCAATACTGGCTTAGTGCAGCCACTCCAGCAAAGGCCTCATAAGCTAAGTTTGTCAGATACAAATGAAACAAGTTTTCTTCATAAATACAGTAGAGCAAAAGTGCTCTTCAATCATGCAACTTCAATATCTTCAATATCTTCAATGCAGGGACAGTTCCACTGCCTTCTTGATTGCTGATACTTCTTTATTCTAGATAGATGTTAGGCTCATTTGATCATTTAGTTGCTTTGAAGTCGGTTGCTCTTCCAGGTATTTAAACATCTCTGTAGCTATTGCAGACCAATCTGACAAGAAAAGCATCTTTAAGACAATGGGAAAAACAACAGCTCTCTCTGTTGACACTATTTTCAAGTATTTGGTACACTGCTACTTCTCCAGCTGTACGCAGTACTTTGGTAGTTATACAGTGCAAGAGGTGTTTGGAGGGTAAAAAGGTCCATATCGAAGTGGAGACAATAATGGCATGCAATATTGAAATGAGAGATATGATATTAGATGAAATTTATTAACGAAACTTCTTCATATTTGGTTTTAGGAATAACCTTATTTAAATATTTTCATTTAAAAAAATCAGGATTGCATAATGAAATTTATAGTTGACATAGTGTTTGGAGTTGTTATTAAAATAGATGAAGATCGTGGTGTGACAGGCAGAAGTGGAAGCCTTTGAGAGCTGATGTAATAGAAATGGAATTAAATATTATAGTACAAAGTACGACATAATGTAATTAAAACTAATGATAAGAAATTATGTTATTAACATTGAGCTCATCATCTGAAAAAAATACTTCTGTGGCAATTAATCTATGGATAACTATAAGATGCCAATGTGATGTCACCATGAGACTAAATGTAAGGCTGAGAGATCTACCAGACTGTATCACATGGAAAATAATACTCGTATTTATGATTACTGGTAATAAGGATTTAGTCAACTTGAATAGATTCTTTTTTCATCAACTTTTCCAGTCACAACTTGAATGTACAGAAAATTTTCAGTATTTCCAATACTGACTTTTGGCCAGGAGTTCCACTATTTGCTGTATGAATACATAACTACCTTTGTTTGTTCCAAACTTCTTACTGACTAGAATTTTTTTATGTCCCTTGCCTTTTCTGAAGGAGATAGTGGAAAATCTGTCCTTATTACCTGCTTCATAATGTCATGATTTTATAGTTCTTTATTTTATTCTTCCATAGTAATCATTTTCTCACTTTATTATGTTCTTTTGAAAGCCATTCCATACCTTCAGTCATTATCCTCTTATGAACCTTTTCTAATTCTACCATACCATCTTTTGAGATGGCAGATCAGAGTAGGTATACTACTTAAGATGGAACTTCTAAGCCTTCGTGTAGGGACAATGCACAATGAAGGGGTTTGATACCAACATACTTTTAGTCCTTCTAGTATCTTTTTTCTTGGACAAAGAATAGGAAGAAATTTAATTAACATAAGTGTATTTTCTAGAAAATTTGTAAAGTGCAGTATAAAAAGGCTCATAGCAAATTTACTAACATGAGTTGGCAAGAAGAGAATATCTAATATCAGAAGATGTAATTTGAGATCACTTTAGCTATCTCTAATTATGATAGTCTACTAGAAATAGTTCAGATTGTATCTCATCTAATCAAGACAATATATTTTTATCAATAATTTAAGTTAAAATCTAACAGTGACTCCTGATATTGTACAAAAAATAATGTTTTAAAGGATGTATGAAAGATCTGTTTGTGAAAAATATACAAAAGAACAGAGGTGATTTTCCAGTACCCTCAAAGTGCAGTGACTCTAAGACTTGCCTCAAATGAGAAAAAAAAACAACCCACAAGAAAACAAGTGAAAGTACTTATACTGGTGGCATAGAACAAATTGTTCCTCTGTAGAACAGCAAGTGGAGGTTTATTTACATTTTTTAGGAATGCTTTTCTTGGAGTATTACTCTCAACTGCTGCAGGTGTGTTTACTAAGCATTTTTAAGTTACAGCTGTGGATATCAAATCTATTTTCACTGGACACGGTCTATCTGGGACAGCAATATGCAACAATAGGTCACAATTTAGTAGCCCTAGTTGAAGCAATTTGTAGAAAAGTACAGAGTAGGCATAATCACTAGTGGACTTTTCTACCCTGGCCAGTGGAAAATTATGTGAAACACTTTGGGGAAAAAAAAAGTGACAAATCAAATTTAGATCTGTAGCTAGCAGAGTTAAATTACAGAATAGCCCAAATGAAAAAGAGGATGTTACAAGTTTACATTCTGTTCACTGGAAAGCTGAATGTCTATACTGCTAGAAACTAATGTAAGGGTCACTGGAGACAAATAGAACAATACAGAATACTGAGTATAGTTTACGATCATTGAAGCTCTCACCTGTTTATTTGAAAATGACACATTCTAGCATTTTCAACAAAACATGCAGAGAATTGTAGGAAGTTCTTATCCCAGATGCACAGCTATGGAGCTTTGCAGTGAAGAAATCAGTTGTCAAGGACATTTTAGATTAGTTTAGCTCTCTTAGACTCTCTTAGCATTTGAGATTAGCTTTGTTAATTAGCTTAAACAATAGATTTCTTTTAAGTACTTGAAATTCTATTATAGTGCCAATTGTCAGCTGCTGTTACTACCATGTTTGTCTGAGAAAAAGGTTCCAGCATGAACATTTTGGAATTGGACTGTCATTCAGACTATGCCATATGCTAAACCAGCAATATCTTTGATAAGGAACTAAGTGTAGCTAAGTCAAATTTCCTCACAGGCAGATGAGAGATATCTGAGCAAAAGACCTTCGTTCTTTCCAGCACTTCAGCCATCAATACTGAAGGACTGGAAGCCATATGAAAGCCAAATCCATAGCATTTAGGGAAGGGATATGCTAAAAGAGATTATTTAATCTCATTACCCAGTGACTAGCAGAAGACAGTGGAGGGTAAAAACAGCAATTTTAGTTGGAAATCAAGTCAAATTACTTTTGGAAAGAAACAGAAAAAGGAGATATACTTAATTTTCCAACAAATTCTACTATGCAGTGTCACTGCCTTCTTGGTGTTTTCTTTTTGCTTAAAAATGCTGTGATAATAGAAAGTTAGCCAGTTTTTATGGGACAATCTGAAAGTGGCAAAAAAAAAAAATAAAGATGTTAACAGAAGCTGTAGATCATTACCAAAGTGTACTTTCAAAGAAGTGAAGTGTATCATGTAAAGAAGAAAGCAAACTACAATTCAGGAGATCAATATTATTCTTGTTTTATATCTATTTTAAACCAGGCTTTAGGCTTTTCCTAAAAATATATTACCGCTAAACTGTGGGGTTTTTGTTTTGTTTCATTTTTTCTTTTTAAGGTAAGAGGGCCCCCACCTGCAGGATCAGTCAAACAAAGACCAGCAAAACGCACAGCTTTTCGCAAGTTTTATGACCGAGGAGACTTTCCAATTGCTGTTCAGCATGAGAGTGTAGGAAACAAAATTGCCTGGAAGGTAAGTCCTGGCACAGCTGTGACAACCAGCTGAGCTTATTGAAGTGACATCTCTCATTGTCAAACAAAGTTAGCTTGCTAGTAAATACACTGAAATAATTTCTTAGCAAATGGGAGATGGTGGGAAAGTCATTAGATAAAGGCCCCTGAGTCAGCTGTCTGCCTTGGCTAACAATTAAATTATATGCTGCAAAAAGGAAGATGACAGAGTTGCTTTGCCTTAGAGAATTGTCTCCTGCCCAATTCATCTCTATTTTTATGAGGACTTGGCAATGTAGCCTGTTTCAGGCAGTCCATCAAATGATGGAAGTGGCTGGATACAGTGAGCAGCAGCCATTTATCTCCCCCAGATTTCACCTTCCTGCAGGACACTTCCAAATAGAAGCTTTAATTACCTAAATGGATAGGTCAAGATTGTCTGCTCCCTGAAAATGCAGAGCAGAATACAAACGAAGGCAGATTCTCATTCCACGGCTGTACTCTCAGTCTCCAGCATATGTCAGACAGCGTAATCGCTGTCATACGTGCCTCTGTTACAGGCTGACCTCCACTGCTGAAACCATTACAGCTCCGACATTTCTCTGACAAAAGGTTAATTGGCTTCAAAATAAATGTATTGCCTAATGACTCCATTCTAATGCGGCTGTGTTTCTCTCTAAAATGCTTGGTGACGTTATTTGTAAAACTTGCCAATCTTCTAAGTAACTACTGCAGACTTTTAAATTTAATTTAAAAAATGAATGCTGACCTTTAACCTGCTCCTACTATTTAATTATTTTGGTTATCATGAATTACTTTTATTTTTTGTCTCATTTATTGGACTAGAATAAGATTTTACTGGAAGCAATGTTAGTTACAGAAAATGAACACGATATGCATGAACAAAACATGTCAGATTTATAGAATGTTTTAAATTGTTCATGTCAAAAACATGATACCAAATTTAAATGTAAAGCTATGTTAAGTCAACACTAAAAGGAGGGATTTTGCAATCTTATAACTGATTCTGCTTGGAATGAAGCAAACGAGATTGGCTCTGTAGTGTGGTAAGTACTACAGTATTTGATAGTAACTAAATTTTAAGGTAGCTTTTTCTTACTGAAATACAGAAGGATTTGTGCTGCTGTTTTGTTGCCTATAGCAGTTTTGAATCAGCACAACAATTAATAGCTCTTGCAGCAAAGGGAATCTCTATCCCAAAAGACTTTGCCCATAATCGAGATCAGATTCCAGTGGCTCTAGGCAACACTAGAAATTCCCTTGCTGGACCAAAACTCAAATGCTTACAACTTAAGCATGAATGCTGATCTTCTGCCACTAGGTAAGACCCAAAGGTGATTTTCAAGCAACTGCAAAAAAATCTCCACAATTTAGTTTTCATTTTGAGGCTTTGTAATTTCTAATTTCTCAAAATCAATCTGAGAGGTAAAGAAATACTACTGGACTGGCATTCCACTAGATGATGCTAGTGACTGCTTAGTTGACTTAGGACATCAGGAAATAAAATGAAGCTGCATAAAAAGTTCAGATGGGACATTAGCAAGAGGTTTTTTATTGAGTGGGTGGCTGGTCACTGGAACAGATTCCCCAGGGTATTGGTCAGAGCACCAAGCTTGTTAGTTTCTGGACAAAGCTCTTAGTCATATGATTTAGATTTAGGTAGTCCTGTGAGAAGAAAGGAGTTGTATTTGATGATCCTTTTGGGTCACTTTCAGCTTTCTAACTTATCTGCAAGCCTTCTAACCACAGATGCATGCTAAAATAAGTGTTTGATTCCTGTATCTGACAGTTTTAATTGTTTGAAAATATACTGCCTTGAACAGTCACAACAGCAGAGTCTCTAGTTAAAGATACAGCATTTATTTTTTCTCAACACACTTTGCAGTCTTCTAGACCTAATGTCTACCTACTGCAGTAAAACACTGGCTTTTAGTTAGTGCAATGTAGGACTGAGATGTCATGCAAGAGTTATTTTTGCTCTTCTACTAATCCTTTCTTTTGAAAAAAGAACTATAGCATGAATGCAAATAAGCAGCACAATAGTGGGCTATTCCATTCCTATATTAGTGCAAGTTCAGATTCAGCCTTATTTCCCTTATTCCATGCCACTCAATTTAGTCACAAATCAATCCTGACTGAGTTCTGTGGCAGGCAGGCACTCAAGAGAACAACACTGAGGTATTAGAGTTACTTGAGGCTATTGTTTAGTTTGACATGCAACTGTCATTGATTATTGTGCCGTTTATGTACATGAAACAGGCAAACTGGCATTTTCCAGTTCAAACTTTGCATTAGATACCTTTTGAAGTCTTAGAGGCTGCCCAGAGCTGCAAAAGGGTGAGAATGTTGTTCTAAAGGTACAGATAAACTAAGGTCTGTATTTTTTCACTTGTTTTAAGGACATAGTAGCACTACTCAAAAGACATCTAATGGCTAATTTTCGTCAGTTCGTCATACTTAATTGTATGTAGTTCAATCTAATGAAAGGAGTTAATTTTTTAGGAATATATTTTACTCAATACTGCTTAAATTCATGACAATTGAAAAGAAATTTTATTAATGAAATGTGTCTAGGCAAATGTCCTATAAAACTGTGGCTGAAGTATACTTATTTGCACTAATCATGATCAAGTGGAAGGATAGGAAGAAGAAATAAATGGTAACAGTGATATTTTAATACTGCTGTAATTACACAATACCAATGTTTTATGTTGAGAGCGTGTTTTTTTCTCTGTTTGGTTATAATGTATATCATGGTTCATTTCACTCTTGTTAGTTCGTCAATAAAGTGGTGCGTGAGAGAAAATACAGGAGGGTCTCAGAAACCTGATTTTTTTACTGGCAGAGGGAAATACTACAGGATTTTGTTCTTTCCTGAACAGCTGTATTTTATTTGCTTCTTCGTTTGTTTTTTATAATTACTGAACATTAAAAAACTGTAATTGTCATTAATTTATTTTTTTTAGACACTTTGAACACTTGTTCATTATATTGTAATTCTGTGGACAGAATACAGTCATTTTCAGCCAGAACAGGAGCATCTGAAATGCTTTAATATACATGAATTTTATTTGGTTAATAGGTAACAAAAAAATTCACACAAATGACCTTTGATATTGTGACAGTTCTGCATTGAGGACTGGCTACATCTAACTGTGGTTGTAGACTGAGATGAAATTAAAATTTAAACTTCAGGAAATGTATAGAACTGTCTCTGAGTAACTGCGTGTGTTGAATACTTAATTATGAAATAATAGTGCTTTTCTGTTGTTACATAGCTTAAAGGTTTTCCAAATGTGCTAAATTTATAAAGAAACAGTCTTGATTTAAATTAATCCTAAGCATAAACAAGATTAAACTGTGCAGATAAACCATGGTGTTTACCTTGCTGTCTTTTATTAAAAAAAGGGATCAAAGCAAATTAGCTCTCAGTGGATGATTATAGGAAGATGTGTGTTCTTGGTGACTTTACAGACTAAGTCTTTACATGTAGACAGGCATCTTTTAGAATATTTCTGAAATGCTGTCATTCTGGTTGGTAAGTTTTAGTATTGTTGCAAGTTCAAATAAGCCCATTTCAACCTGATGGGAAAAAAAAAGTGAAAAGATAATATCCATTTACAACATATTATATACAAGAACAGGAAATTGAACCTGGTTTTAAACAATACCATCCAGAGGGAAAAAATAAAGGACCAAAAAACCTCTGATAATGCCAAAGCAAAATTATGTGGTTCTAGAAGATATAGTCACATTTATTTCTGAAAGAAGAAGACATTACTTGTCTTAGGGTTACTAATGTTGTTTTCAAAGCTGGAGAGAAGTTGTCCTTTTGTCATTTTGAAAAAGTGAATATAGAGAATGACTTGTTAATTATGTCTGTGAAAACAAGACATAACTTGCTTCACAAATTTCTGGCTTTGATTGCAGTTAAACTAACAAAATAATTTCAAACTTAATTCCTGGCTTTTCATCCCCATTCAGTCGATGTACTAGCAGTCAGTGAATTCTTTGCTAAATGGCATACACTCAATGTAACATTTTAGCATCTAATTTGAAGCCTTTGTTTTTATCCTTCCTCAGTAATCAAAAAGAGAACTGTATATGTAGCAGTTCCTTAAAATTTCTGCAAATATTTAATGTTTATGTTTCTTTTGTAAAGTATTTTTAAGATCTGGAAATAAACAGCTTCTTTGGTTTAGTTATTCAACAGATGTTCAAGGGTCTTCCCAAATATGAAGCATTTGATTATTTCCACTAAGAGAGAATGAATAATAATGGTATGGTTTGAAAAAATATTTCTAATATATATTAAACATAAAACTTGGGAACATAAATTGTTTTTAATTTAGAATTAGATAATATTAGAAAGTGATCTTTATATCAAAAGAATGTACTAAGATATTTTTAAGTCTTTTGACTACTTTTGTGGGATCCCACAGTTCTTTTTCAGCTTATGTATATTGCAATTTTATTTCAAAATGTATTAATACATTATTTTGCACAATCTCATACCGAACTATGAATAATAAAAGCTCACAGTTCAGGTCTGAAAAGGACTTCCATTTTTAAATATACGATACTGAATTAAAAAAGGTCAGAATGCAATTAAACCTTTGACTAAGAAAGTTGATAAAACCAAGAAAGTATTTCTGAATTCTAAAGTATGTGTTTGAAATGCAGGCTCTCTGTATTAAATGGAAAGTCATCAGAATGTTTGAAAAATTATTTTTTAGGGAGTGGAGTTAACTATGCAAGAAATTATGCAGGGTTAAAAAAAGCTTCTATTCTTCAAAAGAATGGTAGCAATTTGAGAGAAATGAAAGCCAAATTCAGAAACTTTTTAAGCAATATGTCAACGTGATCATGATTTCCATCTTCTGTGTTTTTTTCCCAGAGTATCTGTATTCACTAAGGATATGACTTCTACCATTTTAGTTTCTCTTCATCTCCTCTTTCCTACACAGTTAATTTTTTTTTCATGACCTAGTATAAGCTATG